CTCTATCTATCTATCTCTCGTGTCGTGAAACACTTACCGTCGTGCACGTCGACGTGGGCGCGCGTTTTCAGGAGGATCACATTGTCATAGTTCAAAACCTCTAATGATTGTATCTGGTCATCGTTCCCGCATTGTCGTTTGGAACTCATTTGGCAATCTCTGTCGGAAAACGACGAAGCCGCACAGCCGAGAAAAAACGACATATCCATTGTAACAATTCTGATTTGGTTCGAGATTTGCACGACCAATAAGCAGATTCATGCACTGTTGCAGATGCTCCTCGAGCCCAGCAAAAGTCACAGCCTCCTCCAAAAGCGCTGCGGGTCCCGACCATCGACTCCTAATCTCGGCGACTGTCAGCTCCTCGTCGTGGAAAGGATCTATATCTGTCCCATTTCCAAACACGACCGCGTCGGCCTGCACACCAGCCCTGCGTCGTCGGCGGTCCATGTATGGGAATGGGTGAATATTGTTCTGTCGCTTATATGTGAAGTTTTAGAAATCTACAAAACAGAACATCACGGGCACCGATGACCTTAGTACTGTACCTCCTTATAACGAAAACGAAAACAAATTTCAAAACGCAAAGCAGACGAATAAAAAAAACTCCAAAAATATAACAAACACATGGGAGATGACAATTGCAGATGTATACACAAAATGTATAATCTTTTAAATCATTATTTTGTCTCTCTCCAACAACGAGAAAACATAGGGAAAAAAAAACGAATGGTACTCATCACTGGATCGCAATGCAAGGATAAAACATGGCAGATAAATCCTCGCCATCGGAGACAAAATAGGGCGGTGACACGACCAGGCGCCAGACGTCGTCCCGAGCGACCGTCCCGTAGTGTGTGTATAGTATGCGATGCACAAGGGGGAAGACGATATCATACATCAAATCACCGTCGACCGGTTCGAGAACAAAGGTGCTGAAGTACGTGGTCGGCTCAGACATTAGGACACGAACGTGTTCGATGACGTGGTCACGAATATAAGTCTCTATAGCAAGTCAGACGACTCGTTCCTCCTCGACGCTGACAACGAAATGACGATCCACCTTCTTGTCTCCATTGCAGTATCCCACTGCATCGCCGACAAGATCTGTTACGGGAGTCATTGATTCGTAATAGTATACGGTGTCGCTGCCTGATAGTTTTGTGGTGTGGTAACATCGAAAAATCATTGGCGCGCAATGCATCGTCGCTTCTTTCGTATGGCGTTTGAAAAGTGTTGCAATTCACAGAAACCAACACCGTAAGTTATGAACCCAACGATCGAGTAACGAATAACGCAAACATGAGATTCTGCATGTACCGTACGGGAAGGAGGAACACCCTGTATACATATATATGGGATGAGCGGGTAGTCGCGATCTTGAACACTGTCGAATGTTGAAAACCTTCACGATTTTGTTCGTCAACCCACCTGTTTCAGACTACGCATGAGACGAGCGGGATGATGGTTCGTTGGCACTTTGGCACTGTTGTCCGCAACTGTCCTTTGGCAACACACTTCGCACATCTCCGTGGAGAAAACTACGGCGTTGCAGCGGTCGGTCGAGTTAGGAGAAATACCATGCGTTGCGTGGTAACCTTTCCACATGCTCGACCGCAACGACTGACACGATGCACCTTAGCAAATGACCAATCATATCGAAGTCGGGAGGTTCGCAGGCGTCGGGAACGACATCCGAAAGCTTTTTTGCGTGCATTACAACCTCATCAAGGCAATCATGGTCGTCGTMCCCCAGTCCCGCCACGACCCTCAAAGCGAGGGTGTCATCGATGAACGAGTAGTACACACGTGTTTTCATGGCGACAACCCCTTCCCAGTGTTCAAAGTCTCTTTCGTTTTCAGTATCGCGCTTACACATTGTCTCTCTCACGACGATTTCCTTTCCATCCACAGCCTCTTTCACAACAACAACTACGTCGGCCATGTTGAGTCGCAAGGTCGAATAAGTGAACCTGACAATTATGAACTGTCTCAATGGCTGACAGACGGCACTGCGAAAGATGACGGCAACACAATATGTACGATAAGTGACGGACACAATGAGTCGAGCCTCGCGGCTGCAAAAAAAAAGAATAATAATAATTACGAACAGTAGGACGTTGGTTGGTTAGTTGGGTGGTTGGGTGGTTGGGCGGTTGGGTTAGGTGGTTGGTTGGGTGGTTGAGCGGATGGATGGGTGGTTGTGTGGCTGGTTGATTGGTTGGTTGGGTGGTTACGTGGGCGGTTTGGTGGTTTGATGGGTTGGTTGGTTGGTTTGTTGGGTGGTTGGGTGGTTGGGTGGTTGGGTGGTTGGGTGGGTGGTTGGGTGGTTGGGTGGTTGGGTGGTTGGGTGGGTGGGTGGTTCGTTGTGTGGTTAGGTGGGTCATTGGGTGGATGGGGGGTTAGGAGGGTCGGTTGGTTGGTTGGACGGTTGGATGGGCGGGCTCCAAAACATGGGGTGGTTGAGTGGTCGGTTGGGGCTGGCGGTTGGTTGGGCGGCTGGAGTGGATGGTTGGGTGGCTGTGGTGGTTGGTTGGGTGGTTGGGAGGGTCGTACATTTGGGTATTATGTTTGGGTGAGTATGTTTGTGGATTGGTTGATTGGTTGGGTGGTGGGTGGGTGGGTGGTTGGGTGGTGGGCTGGCGGGTTGGTGGGTGGGTGGTTATGTCGGTGGTTGGGTGCTTAGGTGGTTAGGTGCTTAGGTTTGTGTTTTTTATTTTTTATTGAAAAGAGAGAGAAAGAGAGAGAGAGAGAGAGAGAGAGAGAGACGTACTTACGTGTGTGAAACATATCACTTTGCGAATAAACGAACCCCGCATGTATTGCACATTATCCCGGTGCCAAATGCGACATCAAATGTTTGTAAATGATATTTTTTTTTTTGAGTTCACTGATCAGATTGATGTGCTGGGCGATGGAACATTCCTCTGACATAAGGTTCCCGAAGATGGGGGAGCCATTGTTGTGCTCCCAGTTGGGTAGCGACCACATGCTAGGCAACGACCCTCACTGTTGCACCTCACAGTCCCTGTGCCAGACATCATCTTGTTCATATGAGAACCATCAGCACATGGCTGATTTGCATTAGCAGCTTATGTTCTGTAATGCAGAAGTTCATTTTCCCTAGCATTCACACGTCGTTCGTGCAAGTCGATTTCTTGTCGCATAGCATGCAAATCAGCAGTCGTGCTCTGAAGGACTTCCTCGRCTGCATGCAAGCGTTTCGTAGCCACTTCAAGAGTGTTGACCACATCTTTAATTGCGAGTCTTACGTCGCTCAGTAGTTTGTCTTTCGACATTTGCGCACACGATGAACTCGAATAATAACGACACCGCAACGAGACCTTGTAGTGGCTGCACGAATGAAATACAACACGTGACACAATGTTATGCGTTACATCTCTCTCTCTCTCTCTCTCTCTCTCTCTCTCTCTCTCTCTCTCTCTCTCTCTCTCTCTCTCTTTTTTTTTTTCTAAAGCATGCTACTTTTCCGAATTAGAGAAGCCTATGTTCCAAAAAGCAGGTGGTTTTGACGGTCTACGTTGGTTCTCCTTGTGTCGTGAACATTCTTGCACAATTTCATGTCGTTCTTTTCCGTGCACACCAACCGCGTCACGAAAACGTTTGCACTCGAAGCATTCATGTCCCTTTA